ATTTAATTTATACATATATTATAATAACATAATAGATTTATATAATTTGAAATAATAATTTAATAATATATTATATATATTACCACGATATTCACGGTATACTTACGATATATATTATGCACGATATATTTTGATATACCTACATTTTTTACTAAAGAGTAAATTTTTGTATGAATTTGTATAAAATTTGTAATATACGTCGATAAGATTTTGCGAAAAAGTTGGGAAACTTGGAATATTTACTCTTATTATACTTATATTTTTAAATATTGTTTTTTTATTTGATATATATATATATATTTTATTATTTAAATTCTTATTTTACATTTCGAAAAGAGTTTAACTGATCACTCAGTACCTAATTATATGTAAGTATCATTAACGTTATTTCAGTTGTTACAGATAATGATAATTGTTTTTGTATAGGACATATGTCTGAAATAATAATAAAATATTAAACGATTTGTCTTACATATATTTACGTAAAAATATGTTTTCTTTTTTAAATAAAAACAAATATTATACAAACCTGAAAAATATTCTCCTGTCAATGGCTTAGGATCGTAAATAGTAAATAATGGAATATTCGGGAAGTATGTTTTAAATGCTTTTTCAAACTCGTTATAATAATTGTTATAAGAGGTAGCAATAAAACCTACTGAATGTTTCTTCAACTGTACGATATTTTTGAATTCTTCGAATGATTTAGCATCATTATGGGACTTTAACACTACCGTCCAGCTTTGCATATCAGTACCAGTCATTAAAATACAAGTGCAATCAACTAAACTTTGACATATACGTGATGTCTGTACAAAATTACAAACAGACAATCTGTAGGCTAATCCTCCCCAAATAGTAACTTTTTTTCTTGGAAACCTACAAAGAAAAACAAATTAGAAATATTTTCCAAATACTAATCAACCGATATATATATTAGGGTGGTCCTTAACAGGGGTGTTTTCAAATTTCTTGACTCCCAGGGGCTCAAAAGCTTCCAAATCTATAAAAAAAAATTCTCTGAAAATTTGAGCTCTTAATATCAACTCTAAGATAGTCCGCATTCCAACCTAAGTTTCTTATGGAAATAATATGAGAGAAATTTCCTTCGTTATTTAGAATTTTATTATTCAGGAATAAATGGATCTATCATGATGAATCATACATATTTTCATGGAGAATTTAACGCTCTACAAAAAAGGTTTCTTATAATTTTTCGCTAAATCGTTTAGCTTACAAGTTATTTGAGCTTAAAGTTTAATTTTTATGTAACTATTAATATCATTGAGTATGATTATTAAGTAAATAACAATATATTAAAAATATATTAAATATTTCTTGTAAAATTTTTATTTATATTAATATATATTTATATTAATAATAAATATATAATTATATTTATATATATATATATATGTGAAACGAAAAACTGTATGAAATTTTTAAATATATTTACCAATCTTTTAAAATTGTCATCAAATAATGTATTATATTAATTCTAATGGAATCGTAAAATATAATCAAACAACTTTCCGTAGACGAATCGTTATTTAAAATAGAATCGAATATGTTTTTCAATTTATCAGCGTTGCAAGGTTCGTTAATCAAACATTTTAATTCTTCGCAGTATATTCCTTTATCCATGTTATGCCAATTAAGTGTAATCGTAGAGATTTTTATTTTAGGTACTTCAGGAAAAAACATACTTATAACGGTATTTTCGTTCGATTGAAAAATATATTTTTGAATTAATATTGAGTAACAATTTAATGGTAAATATTCGCATATACAACCTTCAAAAAATTAATATATCTTATATAACAGTATTAAATCTGATAAATCTATTTATATATTATAATCAAACTAACCTTTATAAGGTTTTAACCGTTCTTCTAACTGAAGTTGTGAGTATGGACTGATAATTAAACGCATATGTATAGAAGGTTTAACTTTGCAACTATCAATGATTTCCTTTTTTACAGTATTCCAACTATGGAGGTTTCTCCCATCATATTTTCTACTGATGCACGTAGGATTTCTTTCTTTTAGTATGTATTGAGCAACTTCGAACCAAGATCTATAAGAAAGACACAAATTATTTATATGATTTTTTATAATTTAAAAAAGAAAGTAATGAAAGAACTTAACTGTATAAGTTCTGAAATATACAATGAATGACGGATATATTTGTACCCCCTCCCTAATCACTATCAATTTTATACAATAAATATTTATTTGTACTGTGATGATTCAAAATTCTTATTTACAAAAACTTATTTTAAATCGATATAGGTTTTATTGGAAAAAAATATTTTATTTTATAAAAAGTTTCATTTTATATAAATGATAAAAAAATTAATCTCATCTGAGTATAGTCGATCTTTTGAAAGTATTATAAAATGCAAAGAATAGTTCTAAATAATAACTATATTTTTATAATATTATATCTCGTATATATACGAATTAGTCTTGTCAGATCACAATTATATTATTATTTATATAAAAGTATATTGCTGTAACAATAGAATGTTCTTTTGCAATCAAATTATTATCAATTGAAAAGTTTAATAATCCTAAATTAGTTTCTATGTACAAAAATTTACAAATTTTGTATTACAATCGAATAATAATTATTTAAAATATAAAGTAATATTTAAAATTTAATAATAGTAGTAATATTTAAAATTAAAATAAATAGATATTTTAATTATTATTAAAAACGAAATTAATGACGCATATTTAAAGTAAAAGAAAAGAAGAAAAAAAAATATTAAAAATACTCGAAATTACATTTACTATTTATTTTCATCATTATTTCATAATAATTTTCATTAAAATATCGTATTATTGTAAAAAAAAAAGTCATTCTTACACCTGACAAAACCAGTCATGTGTATACCTCGGATAAAAAGTTTTCATCAAACGCAGTTTAAAAAGGAAAATGATTTCGAGATATTTTTTGAGAAAAAAAAACCATGAAAAAAAAAAGAAAGATGGTGTATTATCAAACTGTGTTATATATATTATACAATCGTTTAAAGAAAGGTATTGAGTGAATATTAAAAATATCTGTTATAACTATACCTGCAAACCATAGATGCACTATATAGATCCAATCCATTTAAATATTGGAAAATCAAACATAAGACGTCATATTCTAAGTAATTTTCCATTTTCCAAATAATATTAAGTGTTAAAGATTAAAATATATTTCTGATTAAGTAATTTATATCACCACATATGTTAATAGAGATTTGTATAACGAAAAATATGTTCGATACTTTTTGTTTTTTTATTTTTTATAAAAATACGTTTTTAAAACTGCAATTGAATAACAAAAATTGATGTATATAAAAGTAGAAACGAAAGAAAATGAATCGCAAATTAACTCACCGTTCAAATACTCGTATTGCAATAAATATTTCGTTATAACGTACTACACAATATAATACAAATTTCAAATGATTAACCTTGTTTCTTCTTTTTTACTTTAAATTAAATAATTTTTCTTGTGTGTGTGTGTGTGTGTGATTAAATGTTAGCTTATTTTACTAACAAAAAGACATTAATATGATTAATATATTTTTAAAACTAGGTGTTCATAATTAAAAATAGTTATAATGTTCGAAAATTATAAATACGCGAACAGAGAATGTTACAAACCGTAATTCGATCATAAACGATGTTTAGAAATCAAATCAACAAATTGATGTCTACAGTGAGAAACAATAAAGGCAGATTTAAATTATTCATTCTCAAGGTTATATATTTTAAATAGTATCTGATTTTATAGTAATAAACGATGTTGTTCTATTAAACCAATCAAATCGGTTTCATGAAGCGTAAATATTTATTATTAAATTAACAAAAAGAACCCCTTCCAACAACATCTTGATTAGGATAACAACTTTGAAACGATTAAATGACAGATTTGTTTCATTTAGGGATTCTTACCCCATGAAATTCGTGTGACACTTTTTCTCGTCCAATTTAAATAAGTTTTTTTTTTCATGCACTTAGTAACAATCTTATTTTTAACATAAATATTTAAAATTATTAATTAGTATAAGAGTACACTCATATTTAAAGGTAAAATAATTTTATTGAAAAAAATATGCACAAGTTTTGAGATAAAATATTGAATTTTTGCTGAAATTTTAAAACGATTGTTTATTTATATTTTGAGATTAAAATATTTCATATATAATTTTATCTTTGAGGAAAGATTTATAATATAATTGTTGGTATTGTTTCTTCACAAGAACTTTTTTTTTAAATTTTGAAACAAGATCAAATAAAGACACACGTTTACATGAATATTTTTCATTGTTTTAAGGTACCCTGCTCATTTGATATCAGATCTCACATATTACAAGATACCCTGTATATTACTTAAGACTTTTGTTCTTTTAAAAATATATAATTTGTAATAGAATAAAAATAACAATAATAATTTTAATAATAATATTTGTAAATATATCTTTTTTCGTTAATATAAAAATGAACAAAAAGCAAAAATATAATGTATTGTTAATGATTTATTCTCCAATATAATTTAATAGTTAAATATCAGAAATGCATTCTCAATATATAAAATAATTAATTAATATTTGTAAGAAAAGTAATGCAGACATAATTCTCTCTTCGCATACATTTTTCAATATATAATTAATAAATACTTTTTATTCTCTTCATATAAACAAATATTTTTTTTTTCTCCTAATATTATTTAAAAACAAATTTATGTAAATATTTGACGAAAATTATACATTTCATTTGATATCTAATCATACGTGAGTATCATTATTGATGTTTCTGTGTCACCCACTACTTTCGGACCTCTGTCCCATAAATAACGAAAATGTGAATTTTTTATGGAAAAATCTAAAAAAAAGTAAATATCTTTCATTAATATCACTAGATACATACAATCAGAGGATATAAATGTAAAAAGTAGATTTACGAGTAAACACAGATGAGATGAAGGCTTATGATTTCGATTCGAGATGGATTAAAAATGTAATATTATGTAACCAAAATGTAAATTTAGGATATACAAATGTGAAAGTTACAAATAGGTAGTAGTAATATTATAGTGATATTAAAATAAAAGATGAAAACAATTAGACGAATTATCTAAACGATTTGAGATTAAATATAGACGAGTTTAAATGTATTAGTATAGTGTTTAGTATCTTTGTAAAAGATAATTTCATAAAATATATATATATATTATGTAAATATGTTTGTTTTATGTGAACAAAAGAAAATTGACAATTAAAAATGCAGTTTAAAAATGGATGAACATTATAGATGTACATAGAAAGAATAGTTTTTTCTATTTATTAATATGTTACACACCTTTAAAGCCTTCTCCTTTTAATGCTGCAGGACCGAATAAATAAACGTAGGGCACTTTTGGAAATATCTTTTCAAATATATCACACTCTATGAAAAGATAATTAGGACGACGAATACCAGCGATGTAAATAAAACCTAACGAGTAAGTTTTAAACTTAATACTTTGTTTCCATCGTTTAAATCTTGCTTCGATAATCTCTATTGTCTCTTGCTTTGAAGGCCAAGTCCTACTCCAAATTTTCAAATTCGCATGACTAATAAAAAAAAAAACAGATCCCGCAGGTTCCATGCAGTAACGCTCGGAATAAGATTTTGTACAGATTAATATTTGCCTTGTTACACCACCCCAAATAGAAATATTACTTTCTGGATACCTAAAGATAAAAAGCTTTAATAATTAGATAATACAAATGAGCAGTAGTACATATTTAAACACAATTCTATTTAATATATTATAATTTACCAATTTTCTAATGATGCAACAATAGTTTTTAATAAGCAAATATTGTCCAGATCGCAGAATAAAATCATACAACTTTTTAGAGGACTTCTGTCATTCAAATAATGTTCAAAATAACCTTTCATAAATGGTAAAAGTTCATAACTCAAACCTAACTTAGAATGTAATTCTGGACAATAAACTGATATTGTTGGGCCATATCTCTTTAGAAAAGTAAAGGTTGTAATTTCTATTTTATAAAAATCAGGTATAGACATATTTACAATACAAGATCTCAATTCTAGCGGCATAAATATTCGTATTGTTAATGAATAATAATCGGGATTCAAATCATTACAATAACAAACTAGAACAAAATTAAAGTACTTTCAATAAAAATATTTTTTGATTATATATATATATATATATATATATATATATATATATTACCGTAATAAACTGAAATTGGAGAATGTCAAGATATATATTGTCACTTAAATTAGTATAATGTATAAGAATAAATTCAAATATTCGGTTTTTTTTTTATATATTTGATATGTGTTAACAAGTGACCATGTGAATCTTGACATTATCAAATTTCGGTCTTTCACGTTTACATATAATTAAATATATAATATAATGCTAACTATCTATTGAATCTCTCAGCATCTCATTATAAACGAAAAAAATATGAAATTTCAACATTTTTGAATGACATAGACTCAAAAATTGCTTTATAGTATCCACAGAAATAATACTACTACCATTAATAACTAATTCAAAATATCCAGGACCTCTTGTATAATGTTCTTCCATAGCAACTTCTTTCCAATATCTAAAATAATTTGTTTCAAATCCACAATATAAACTAAACTTTTCACACGCTTATTCATTTATCGTATTAGAAAAAATGTTTTCTTTGAAATATTTAATAAACAATCTTAATATATATATATATATAATACAAATTTATATAAATAATATATGATCTTAAGATACCTGCAAACCAATGATGCTACATAAAGATGCTTTGGTTGTAAATATTTAAAAATAATACGCAAAACGTCATATTGTATATGTTGCTCCATTTGAAAATAATATTTAAATGAAATCAAATATTTCTACTTCTCAATCGTTTTCTATAATATTATAACAAAATTAATTTGTATGATCGAAAGTTAAAGTAATAAGTAATCTACAAAAACAGTTAATAGAAAACACGAATTTGATCATTATAGAAAAATATATATAATAAAGAAAAAAAAAATCACATAAAAAGTTTATTCATAAGATTTATACATACGTGATAAATATGTTGGATATTTCCGTGATACGCGATGACTGTTATATTTGAACCATCATTCTTGTATTCATAATAAATAACAAAATAAACTAAGATTATACTTGTGATCATAGAATAATACTCTATAAGAACCGCGGTGTGTTCTACAACGTTTAATAACACAAAACTAAATACTCTCAGTTAATTGGTTCGAAAATAAAGTAATGTTAACCAACATAACAGATTCAAGTAATCCACCATGAATACCTATACTCGAAAAAAATGTAATAATTAATGTCTTGCTATTTTTGAAATATTAAAAAGCATATCTCGTGCATTTATCAATTTGTTATCATTATAAATATTTTATCTAATTTGGTTTGAACGTAAGCAAAAAATAATCTTTTAATTTGAATATTCAATATATTCCATCGTTCAAATGTGTTACAAGACAAAATAAACACACTGTATATATAATATAAATCAAATATTGGTATGAAGGATCTGTATGGAATATGTACGGATATAATGATTTTCTTTTCATACATTTTTTTATATATATTAACAAATGTTTATTTCTAATCGTAAATAAATACTTGTTTAACATACTTTATTTTGTTGAACAGTTATATTAAATATTAAAGAATATTACACATTTCATTTACTACCTAGTCATACGTGAGTAGTAATATTGCTATTTCATCAGCACCCCTTATTTTTTGACCATTCTTCCATAAATTTAACCATTGTATCATAGTTTCCAAAATAGCTAATTAAACAAAAAGAATATTTTCATTAGATTTAATAATTATACTAGCTAATTACATATTATTTGTTTGTGTTTCATTACATATTACATATATTTGTCAGTGTTTCTTTAAGAAATTCGTCAATTCATGAAATAACTAACAAAACCCTCAAATTGCTATACTGATCTGTTTAAATATGAAAAAAGTTAGAATATCATACTTCAACTATGTAATATATAAATTTACAAAAAACGAATATAATAAAGGTATTAAGATTAAAAATATGAATATCAAAGGAAAAATACAATAATATTCGTGATATAAATATGAGAAATAAATATTCTGTAATGATATTGATCGTTTTAGCATTGCTATACATTTAGGATGTATTTTGAAGAAAAACAAAAATCATTCGATACGTGACACATGTGTCTTTTTCTTTTTTTTTTAAATAAGTGAGAGTTTTTAACGGGAATTGTTAGACGAGAATCATGCAAATGATAAGACGAAGTGCAGAAATATAAATAATTAAAATGATTTGAAAAGAAATAGACGATTTAAATCGCATTAGTGTAATGTTGAGTATATATATCTCTATTATAAATATAATTTAATAAAAGCAATATTTTGTTAAATAGAAACAATCAAATCTCAAGTTTCAGTTTAGGTTGACTCTCTTAATTAGACGTACACAAATAAAATAAATTTGAATTATGAATATTTGACAAACCTTCAAAGCCTTCTCCCATTAATACTGCATGACCATATAAATAAACATAAGGTACTTTAGGAAAAATGATAGAAAATAAATCACATTCCAACCAATCGGAATGTTTAAGATTCGAACCGGAAAAGTAAAATATTGCCAGCGAGTGTTTTTTTAACTTAATATCTTGTTTCCATTTTTCTAATTTCGTCTTGACATTATCCTTATTCCGTGGAAACAATGGCCAAGTTATTTTCCAAGTTTGCAAATTTTTACTACTTATAAAAAAAGATATAAAGCTGACAATGGCTCTACACTTACGCTGAAAATGAAAAGTTTTACAGACAGACATTCCTTTCGTTAAACCTACCCAAATAGAAAGTTTACTGTTTGGAAACCTAAGGGGATGAAAAAAAAAGAAAAAGAAAAAAGATAAAACCTAAATATTAGACATAAAAATGAACAGTAATGAATTTAATAACTCTATATTCGCGTTATGTAATATATTACCATTTTTGTATTGATGTAATAAAACTTTTTAATAAGCAGATACTGTTCATATCGCAGAATAAAATCATACAACTTTTCATGGCCCTGTTGACAACGAAATAACGTTTAAATTGGGTCTTCATATTTCCTGGAAGTTTAAAAATACAACCAGATATGAAGCTTAGTTCTGGACAATATACTGATTTCGGTCTGGATTGCAAAAGAAAAGTATAGGTATTTATTTCTATTCTTTTTGAATCAGGTAAAGACATGTTCATGGTAATACTTCTTTTAGTTGTCGGATAAAATATTTCTATTAGTAATGAGTAACAATTTTCTGGCAGATATTTACAATGACAATCTTAAAAAAAAAAATTTATTATATAAAACAGATTTAGTAATATTATTTTATAATTAAAATATATTATATATATATATATTTGTACATATGTATTATATTTTCTTATACATATATACTTACCAAACCTAGAATGTCTTATTATTCGCTGAACAGTAATCATCACATAAAAACCTGGTATTATTGGAAGATTTGTTATCAAATCGTTTTTTATAAGATTCCAATTATAATTAGGTACTGCATATTTTCTTTCTACTAAAATACATACAGGACCTCTTGCAAAGTTTTCTTCACTAGCAACTTTTGCCCAATATCTACAATTATTTTTTACACTAATCTCAATATCTCTACAAAACGTTTTTTTTTCACACGCATTTATCGTTTAAGTATTTAAAATAAATGTGATCTTAATTAATGAAATATTTCAAATAATATAATATATAATCTTAAGATACCTGCAAACCAGGGATGCTGTATAAAGATCATTTGATTCTAAATATTTAAAAATAATACGCAAAACGTCGTAGCATATTTGTTGCTCCATTTGAAATTAATATTTAATGGATTAGAATACTTATACTTCTCAATTGTATTCTATAATATTATGACAAAAGAAATCTGTATGATCGAAAGTCAAGGTAATAGTAATCTGTAAAAAGGGGTTATTAGAAAGTGAAAAAATTTCGATAAAAACATATAAAAAGTTTATTCATAAAATTTATACATACGCGAAAAATATGTTAAGTATTTCCGATGACCGTTATATTTGATTGTATTCATATAAAGTAAATAACAAAATTAATTAAGATTATACTTATGCAAACTAGAGATCATAGACTGATTATCTTCTTGTTACCATGGTGTGTCACCCTGAGTAAAGTAATATACGATGCCAAATATTGTTCAGTTAATTTATGTGAAAATTATGCGAGGTGGTTATTGGATGTTAGATGTTTAGGTAGTACGTGAAAATTCCACTGATATTATTCTGGCTATGTGTTCTTCCACATGTAACGTGTAAACGGATCCGATCTGTCATTATAGAATTATTGGCTATACGTTGTGAATAATTCACCGTAATTTCAGTAACCAAATTCAAAATTAACGTTCTCTAAATAAACAGAACTATCCTAAAGTACATTTATTTAAATTGATTTTGAACACTTTGAAATATTTTTTATGCATGCGAGACAAGTCCTCCAATAATAATTATTATTTAATTAATTTATAAATTAATCTATAATACATATATAAAAATGAATACGGATAAATTGT